ATTCACGTATCTGCAATCCACGGCTGCACCCAAGTTATTCGATTTTGTTTATCAGTAGGTGCCAGTCCTGAAGCTTTGGACGTCGACAAATGCACCCCACTTCATTTAGCTGCCAAGGGAGGCCATCTAGACGCCGTGGAATGCCTGTTAGAGGCATCAAATTACTCCAAATACGCATTAAACAAACAAGGGAAGACCGCTTTCACGCTCGCCGTCGAAAACGACCGATCAAACGTGTACGGCTCGTTGCATTTAGGGGACGCTTTGAGCCGTGCGGCAAGGATCGGGGACGTTAATGGGATAAAGAGTTGCATAGACGAAGGGGCGGACGTGAATGGAAAGGACCAAAACGGGTGGACGCCTTTACATAGGGCGGCATTCAAAGGCCAATTGGAGAGTGTTCGGGCTTTGCTCGGCTACTGTGGCGAGATCAACATTGTCGATGATAACGGGTACACGCCGTTGCATTGTGCGGTGGAGGCAGGGCATGTTGAGGTTGCGTTGTTGTTGATGGGTCATGGGGCGAAAGCTAATTTGAAGAGTATGAAAGGTACGAGTATGGGAGTTGGTTTGAAATCTGATTGTTGTAAGTATCATTGTTGTTATCGTAGTTGTATCGTTCAGCCTTTGTGTACTGATGAGAAGGAACGGGCTTGATGGATGGATTTGCCTGTTTTGTTTTTCACTAGTTGTGAAGATATGCAGAGTCCGTGAAGTTGTATGATATGTGATTAGCCGATGGCTTTACTTGCTTCAAGTGAATTGAAGCTGTTCATACAAAGATGAAAGATGTCATCTAATCTTCGGGTTCCAACATATTTAAGTCCGTTCAAAGCACATATTTTTGAGCTGCAACATTTGTGGCAGGTTAGGACTGATATGCATACAACCCTACCAAACTTGTTTGTTAAGGATAAAAGGAGTTTGTGGAAATTGATAAAATACAAATGACTCACTATTCTTTCATAACAAGGTAAGAACAAAGAGAACTAACAAGGGAGAAGAATGAAAGATGCCAATAGGTAACCTTAACCCACTCATTCTTCACGCGAATGTTTAAGTTCTTTACACAGAATCCTTTCACTTACCAAGCAACCTCAATAGTTAAAGTGATAGTCATTATCCTAAGAAGTCTCAGATTTAAATACCATCAACGGACATAAAATATTCATTGTCAAATAATTGAGAGTCTTTAGAACATATATACCACTTGTAATCATTCTAAATTAATAAAAAAATATTACTTCAACCTTAAAATATAAATAAAAATATCGAGGAGGAATAGCTTAAGGAAAACAGTTTTCAAGTTCCACAAAATTAAAGATAGCATTAATGAAAGAACTCGTTAGGCTAAATTTATGAAATTTTAAAATAATGAAAATTTATTAAATTGTTTATATTAAGAATATATTAATATAATATATCAGTTTTATGAACTAAAAGTGTAATTATACCCTACAACACTACTATTATAAATAGATAATAAAAACAAAAATACTATAAATATATGTATGTTAGGATGGAAGAGGCTCAATTGAACAATCAAAAAAGTTGTAAGAGGGTTGAATTTGGAAAAAATGGTTTAGGGAATAAGGAGAAAGAAAATATAGAAACTTTTGTACAGCGATTTATAGTGGTTCGACTTATCAATTAAGTCTACCTAGGGATGGTAAACGGGTACAATTTCGTGGATTCCACACCGTACCCGCTCCAACTGGGGAGGGAATGGGTATAACTTTAGTGGGTAGTGGGTGGATGTGGATTTTGAAAGTGAAACTCATAGCGGTTAGTGGACGGGTGATGGGTTTGAGACCTTACCCGCCCCGCATTCGCCTGCCCACTTAATACCCATTAAATTTTGGACCATTATAAATTTAGGTATAATTTTAGGGTTTGTCATTTATGTGTGCCAAAGAAGAAAAATATTATGTGTTTGTCATTTATGTTTCTAGGCTTTAATTATGTCTTTTATTATGGTGTTTTATGTACTTTAAGATATATGTTAACACTTAACTCAGATATCATTGGTTTATTTTATTATGTTTCTTAATGGACGTGTTTATTTTATGTTTGTTGCTTATGTATAACTTAAGGTTGCTATCAGACAAGTCTAGCCGGGTACGTCTCCAGTTGGGTAGTGGGGATGGATTTGAGAATGTACCTGCGTGGGCGGGTGTAGATTTGAAAAATTTTACCCATCATGGGTGGCGGGAGAATGGTGGATTTGAAAATATTAGGTGTGTATGGGGATGGGGGAGGGGGTATCCGCACCCGACCCGTCCATTTGTAATCCCTAAGTCTACCTCCATTACCTTAGCTCATCACTAAGGATTTTTTAACAAAATCACTAATTTGTTCTTTCTTTTTCAAGGACAAATAAATAACCTTTACACTCCCTAGTTTTTCACTTAGATAAACTATAACCAATCCCCTTTTACAAAAGATAAAAAGAAGTAAATAATAAAACCTCTCAAAGGTAGGGTGTTTACAAATTTAGCTTACTAAAAACACAAATATTTACAAGAGAGATAAAATAAGATTGAAAAAACTCTTCTCTTGTGTTTGATTGCTTTGATAAGTGTTCTAACCCCTCTTCAAGTGTCTTGAACTTGTATTTATATGTTGAAATGAAGTTGTGACAGTTTCTAGCCATTGAGGATGATTTCTAGCCATTTGGAGATGAAATCTCTGCAAAATAAAACTGCCCAGTACAGAGGGTATCAATACTCCTAAAAGGAGTATCGGTACTATCTTTGTTATTTTTAAATCAACTAGTCGTTACTAGTCGCTGGAGCCTGATGGTATCGATACTATGCCTATAGTATCGATACTACTATACAAAGTAGCATCGGTACCCCTTTGGGTATTTGTACCATTTTTACATTCTGAAATTTGAGTAATGTTGGTAGTATCGATACTACCCATTGAGTATCGATACTTCCTTTACCTTTGGTATCGATATCATATGAATATTATCGGTATTGTTCATGAGGTATCGATACTGTAAGAACAATATCGGTACTGCTTGTTCAGAAAAACATTTTGTGCTCAATTCAAAGTTAAATGAAATTTGAATAAATTCAATTCAAGTTCAAAAATATTTTGCCTTAAATTGTTATATCAAAATATAATTCAACAATCTTCCCCTTTTTGATATAACAAATCATTTGAAAAATTGTTTTTTTTTTACAAAACTCCCCCTTAATAAAACATTTAATGAAAAAGATATCAATTGTTGTAAAATGTATGAAAAATGTTCAGCTTCCCTTTTTTCATTAATAATTTAAATTTTTTCAGACTATATTTATCCCATTTTTGTTATATAAAAAATAATTCAAATTTAAAGTTCTAAAATAACATTGGATAGTAAGTGATAAACTTGACATTAAAAACATTTGAAAAATCAAAACTCCCCCTAAAAAATTACATTCCAAACAAATAATTGACTTTAAAAGCTTGACACTCAAATAAAATCAAATTTCAATAAAAAATAATAAAAATGTTAGTAGCTCATGAAATTCAATATATCAAAGTCTAAAATATTTTTACGCAATAGGTAAAACATAAATGACTCACTATTCTTTCATAGAAAGGTAAGAAGAACAAAGAGAACTAACAAGGGAGAAGAATGAAAGATGTCGATAGGTAACCTTAACCCACTCATTAAATTAGCTGACCCTTATTCACATATGTAATGGGGTAAGGGAGAGGTAGGATAGTAGTCTGCCCCCAACGCCAGGTTGAGAGCAGCTTTCGTGGAGACCTCCAAATTATGAATTGCCCCCCGTAGGACTCGATCTCACGACTCCAAGATTAAAAGCCTTGTGCTTAACCCACTCATTCTTCACGCGAATGTTTAAGTTCTTTACACATAATCCAATTTCTCACATGTAGTAGAACAGACAGAAGCTTCACTAAGATAAACACCAATTCAATAAACTCTAACACTAAGATTAACATTACTTGCCATTTTACTTATTAAACGACCTCAATAGTATTTTTATAAAATAAATATTATGTCAATCTATTAAGTATTTATAATGTTACTTGTATAACTATAAATATATAAATGGATAATAAAAACAAAAATACTATAAATATATGTAATTTATCTAAAAAAAATACACAAATTACCGAATGACAATACTAATTTTTGTTGTTGAAATTATTCACTCATAAAAAGGATTAATTTAATAAACACTTTAAATTTTCACTTCCCGCTTTATTTTAAGATACTGTTTCCCCAAACTTCAAAAATCCCACAAAGAAAAGAAAAGCCATTCCACGTTAACAATCCAATTGAATTCGGCGCCAACAAAACTCACTCTGGCGATGCGCGTGAAACCAGATCAACCAATCAAAACGCGCTGTCTCCCTTCTCTCTCGTTCAAGCTTCTCTTCGAAAAAGCTACTAAAATCTGCAATCATGAGCTCTGCAGCCACTTCAACCAAGGGAGGCCGAGGCAAGGCAATTTCCAAAGCCGTTTCCAGGTCCAGTAAAGCTGGTCTCCAGTTCCCCGTCGGCCGCATCGCTCGTTTCCTCAAGAAAGGTCGCTATGCTGAGCGCGTTGGATCTGGCTCCCCCGTTTATCTTTCGGCCGTTCTCGAATATCTCGCCGCCGAGGTTGGTGAAATTGAGATTTCTTAATAATTCCAGTGAGAATTCTATAATTTTAGACGAAGGCTTTAATTGACTGTGTAACCTTGCAGGTTTTGGAATTGGCTGGAAATGCGGCGAGAGATAACAAGAAGAATAGAATTATTCCAAGGCATATTCAATTCGCTGTGATGACGAAGAATTGAGTAGGCTGATGGGAGGTGTGACTATTGCAAATGGAGGTGTCTTGCCTAACATTAATCAGACTCTACTGTCAAAGAAGGTTGGGAAAGGAAAGGGCGAGGTCGGCTCTATTTCTCAAGAATTTTAGGGATCTTTTTTTTTGGTTGTGTAGATAGCATGTATTGGAACTTGAAACATGAGTTCTGCACTTGCTATTGTATTTCAGAGTAATGAAAATTTAGAATTGAATTTTGTTCTAAATATTGGGTTCTGTACTTACATAGTTTCTATTTATGCCAATGATTTACAAGCCATCATAATATATGGATCCATAATCATCTGCAAAATCTCTCATGAATGTGTTTTCCATATGCTTTTCGATGGAGAACTGTCACTTATCTTCACAACCTTCTGTTTCGGTTTTGTCTGCTTCCGTCGCTTTCTACTGCCATTTTCTTCAGCGTGTTCATTTTCTTTGATTATATCAACTTTCACTATGTGGTGATCCGAGGTCCCTTCTGAAGACAAAACCGAATACGAGCCCGGAATGAACTTATACAGTGAATCTGGGGATGCCAGAATGTAATCAACCCGAGTCCCATACTTGCACGTCCCCTGCACTCCTGCAGCACACAAAAATCAAAATGAGTGAGGATTATAATCAAACAGTTGGGGTGCAAAGTTAAAAGGGAATAAGTTAATCTTTTACTTTGTCCTTTGGCAATCACGACGACCGGCTCACATTCCCCTGCGAAGTCCTTGGCATCAGTGTACTGTTTAGTCTTCAGATACTCCATAACTTCAACCTTTGGTGTTGGTTTCCCCATTTCTTCGTAGTACTGTTAAGATACAAAGTTCATTAACAGAAATGTCAACTTTCAAAATTGGGTGATAAAGGATGAGGTTTAGGGAAATGCCCCACACCCCACTGCCATGGATGTTACCTTAACAATATCTGTCCACCTCTCTGTGGAATAATCAGTCCCCTCCAAGGAATTGAGACCTCCAGCTAAGATGTGTGGACCATCATTGGATTGAATTATTGCATTCATCTGCTTCATGCGCCAGTTCTCATCCAGATGGTCAAGGTGTGTGCAGTGGAAGTTGATTTCGCCTGTCTGGGGCACATCAATGGTTGCCTTTAGCACATTCCTGTCGTCAATTATCAAATTGGATCACAGTAACCCAATATCGAATTCATGAACTTTAATGGATATATACTTTCAAATTCATGATTTCGTTTTCCACTAAAACAAACAAAAGCTAGAGTTGGAAATGTTTGTAGCACTGTATCTTTTATCTTTCCCACTTCTGAGTAATGCTAAGAACTACTATAATTCACTATTTGATCTTTTGTCAGAATTCCATAATTTTTCCACAACAAAGAACCAATTTTGGGAAAGAAACAATGAGGTAGTTTTCTTATAATTTTGCAACTTTTTCTTTTTGATGCATTAGGGAAATTATAAACAAATATATATATATATATATATATTATGCATGATGGGAAGATCAGAAAATTTAGATTAATGAATTACACATTCAAGAAATGGGTGCAAGTTCTTATGCTGTCAAACGCGTACAGCTGTTATGACAGATAATTGTTTGATACTTGAACCGTCGGAATTCAAGAAACAATGTATAACTAAAATTTGTGGGCCTTTTGGCAAAAAAAAAATGATTTACAATGTCGAGCATGGATATACTCGAATTAGACTTGTGTTTGAATATGTGTATGAACAACATGGACACTGTGGTTAATAAAATGGTAGACTCACCTGAAATCTGTGTCATCGAAGATCTTCTGCACCTTCCACCGCTTGATCGGCCACTTGGAGAGCACGGCGTTGCCGTACTCCGGCGCCCAACTCTCGGCAAACACATAGTTCATCCCCAAAGCAGCGGCTAAATCAGACAAAGGCTTCATTGCTTTCTCTTCCTCTGCCTTGACATCTTGCAGAGCTAATATATCAGCATCCAACTCTTTCAACACTTCAAATACTGTTTTTCTACCTCTATAACTCCCACCACAACCATCAACCCAATTCCCCGTGTTCGCTGAAAAACTCATCGTTGATCTCAGCCGAGTTTTTCCCATGCTCGAACAACCCTCCCTTTCATGCCCCGAAAAGCCCAATTGTCGACTACGCAACAGCGAAATCTCGTTATCCGGTAAATTGATCGACACCCTTTGCTTCGATTTCACGAATTTTTGTTGCTTCGAGAGATTCTCCTTCTCCTTCATGGAATTCGGGTGCAAGGGAGAATGCTTTAGTATGCTCTTCGGCCGATCGGATTTTGTAAGACCTTCGTTTTCATAGTCGAAACTCGAAGATTTGCTTGCTCTAGGCATTGCAGGGGCCATAGAAAACATGGCAGCATTAAAAGTCGCTACACGAATAGGCTTCACCGAGCTCAATTCACCGTCTTGGTGAACTTTTGAAGTGCCGTTGACGATAGCATCGTCTATATCATCACGATGACGGTCGGGGTCGGTTTTTGGTTTAGCATACACTTTTATGACGATTTTGGACTTTGAACGGCACCGGAGTTGCCATCGGAGGTGAGTAAAGAGGCGTTTGATTCTTTTGTTAAGGGCTTTGAGCATAGTGGAGAAACGGGTGTTGTACAAAATAGGATCTAAAGCTTTTGATGATTGCATGAGAAATTTAAAGGGGAAAAAGTTGCTGGTGCAGAGTTATCTTCTAGAGTTAGAAACTCTGTCTAGAGGTTGAAAGGAGGAAGAAAGGCAAAGGGTTGAATCAATTAAGATTCCAAAAACTAAATTTTCAAGTAGTTTATCGGATCAAAGGGTTTTCAAAATGCAATCTTTTTTTTTGCTTTCAAAAAAGGAGAATGAAAATTTTGTGGGGACTAAAGATAATGGAAAGAGCTAACAACTCCAACTAATCTGCAATTAATTATTGATATATTCAAAGTCTTTTATGTGGTATTCTTATCCTGCTTTCAAAATCCCATGCAGTTTTTCAATTGAAATCATATATCAACATTGGCCAAGGCAAATGCTTTCCATACATAGGAACTTTTGTAATTTTATATTTTCAAAAATTTTAATTTTTAATTAAACGTGATAAAAACACATATTACGAATGATTTGAGAGAAGATTAGGGACGGAATCAAGAATTTATGTCAAAAGTGGGAATTTAAAAAATTATATTAAAAATTTTAAGGAAATAAAGTTATAACATTTTATGGGTACAACCGCACCTCCAGCACCCCACCGGTCCAACCCTGCTAAAAAAATCCCCTTTCATCTTTTTTTTTTTGGATCTATCTCATTCTTGCAATAAAGAAAATGTGAATATGAAGTTCCCATTTTTGAGGTCTAAACAAAGCTTGAGAAGATAAAATGAAAACAAATTATGCAAACCATAAAAGCCATATTAATTATTAGGTTAATCTTGGGTCCTCATTAAGGCGTCCCTGTATGGCCAACATCACACAAATATTAAAAAAAGCATCAAAATATTGTGACCCAAAATGTCTAGTGGTGACAAAATTGGATCCACTAGATGTATGGTTATGAAAGAATGAGTAAATGAAATATAGTTTTTGAGGGTTAGGTGGAGAATGATTTGTATTTGAAGGGGATTAAATAATGTGGGTCTTAACTGAGATTTGATGTATCAAGATAGATGCCAAATGCACGAGTCCATATAACATTCTTCTCAGGAACTAATTCGAACAAGGGAAAATTATATCAATGGTCATTCATGTTTGGATAGGTCTCTTTTTTTCACCACTGAAGTTTATAAATTTATGTTACGGTCACTAATGTTTTTGATTTATAATAAAATGGTTAGTTTTGTCGTTAATATTTTTGATCACGTGACTCGTCAACAAAAAAGTTGATATTTTGTTTGACACATACACTTTTTAAAATATCAACTTAATCCTTTAAATCTTCAATAATCAAAACTATTTTTTTTATTCTTTCACCGGCTTAAATCAAGACCCTTGACTCTTAAAGGACCTTTTCAATCACATAACCTACCCAAAGTCACCATCAACATAGAACCCACTTTCAACTTAAGCACCACCCTTAGTGACTTGGCTAAAGCTCATATTCAATCGAACCAAAACCTTATTCAAGACTAACTAGACCCATTATTGGTGACCAAAGCTCTCACCATTATATCTCAAATAGCATACCAACAACTAATTAAAATATGACTATGACTGAAAATTTGAATTTGAAAATTTGAATTTTGAAAATTTGAATTAGAGTTCGGATCTAGGTATGGTTGGAGACTCATACATGAATGAGTACTCGCATCAATTAGATTATAGAATCATGTATGAATAAATACTCGAATTTGAGTAATTTTCTTCCTCTGAATTTGGATATGGGTCAGTGTGGCAAACAAGCATTTAAAAGTTCTAAAAAATTATAAATTCAGTTTAGTCCATTTAATTTTAAATTTTTAAACTTGATCCCAACAATTTATGTTTTTATTCCAACCCCAACTAAAGATTCCTAACTTCACCTTTAATTAGAATCTTTCTACTTATAGATGAGTCTATTTATATATAAAAAAATTGCGAATGTGGATGTGATAGCTTGTAAGCTGGTTTATACAAGTCCTCTTGGAATCCCCAAATTGAAACTAACATCCAACGACAGTTTAAGAAGGAAAAAAAGTCACAAATCTCACATCAAATTATACTAAAATTTAGTAAAAATTAGAATAGTAAAACTATAGCGGAAATAACGACCTACTATTATCACAATTGGTCGCTACCCTTTAAATTACAATCGTGATTCACCGTTATTGGTGTGATTATACTTCACACAACTATTTTTCACAATAGCGATATCAGACGTCATCACTGCCGTTAAACAATGACCACTATTCCACTAGTCAATGATCAACAAGTAGCATTCATCGAGTCAACGATTAATGGGTAAATGAGTCAGTCAAACGGGTTGAGTCAATGAGCAAATGGATTGATCAAATGGGTCGAGTAAACGTGTAAACAAGTCGGATCATCCTTGGTCAAAATGGGTCGATCGAACGGTATGGGTCATGGGTCGAAGGAACAGATCTGGTGCAACATTGGTTGGGTTCTTGTGGTTTACCTTCGGCCGGAATGTTTTAGGCTCTATTGGACTATTGGGCATTGGGCAGACTTAAACAGAACTAGCCCAACTCAATAAACTTAGAGTTTGGGTCGGTTGGAAAACAACCCAAATGATAGGCGGTGGCTACAAGCAGGCTAGGGCCAAAGGTAAACGGATACTGGCCTAATACGTTGCGTTCAAGTCAGACCAAAATCGAGCAAATTGGGTCACAACAAAAACAAACCCATTAAGTTTAAGGAGACCTGTAAAATGAGGATCAATTTATAATTATTTTTAAATGTTAAAGGTTAAGATCTAAAATATATAACCAAAATAGAATAACATATAAATATTAAATATATTATTATATCAATCTTACTAATTAGCGCTCTCTCCCATTTTTTTATCTTTAAAGTTTATATTTTTTTATATATCATATCAATTTTTTCTTGTTTGATTTTATTTAGGCAGTGACGGTATTGATTTTGATGCTGGATATTGTTTGTCGGTTCTCTTTTCCCTTTGATTCATTTTTAATCTTTTTAATAAGAATAAATTTGTCTTTGAGACACGCTTTTCTCTGCCTTTGTGGTACGCTTTTTCGTTTTCTTTCTAGATCGTTTAATTGTTCTTTTATTTATGTTTTATTAGGGTGGGATTTGATGCTGCGATTGATCAATATTGTACTTATTTGTAATAATGTTGATCTTTCTTGCTATGGACCTTCAGATTGAATTTGGACACACGATTTTATGTTCGTGGATAGTTTTTTACGATGCTCAACTCTGATTTATAGTTCTCGGTGGTCTTTTTATAACTTAATCTCCTATTTGTGCTTCATTTATTGTGCAATTAAATTTGTTCGTATCTATTTTTTGTTCAATTCTTTTGATTGAGCTTTTAACATTCTCCATATATAGTCCTTATATGATCTAAAGTGATTAGATTCAATGTTATACGATAATATCCAAATTATATATTTAGTTTACAATGATATTTATAAATCATTATTATAAATTGATAAATTTTCACATTTTAATAATACTAATGATTTCTATTAAACAAATCTTATTGATAGTCACATTAAATTTCAATAAAAATTTAATTATAATAAAATAAATAATTATTTGTTTAAATTAAATAATTATTTTACAACTTAAAGAAAAATATGTTAGATTAAAATTTATAATTATAGGTACATATTTATAATATATATTATTATCATAAAATATGAATAAATTAAGTAATCAATTATGTTATAAAGTCATAAGATATTATAAGTGTTACGGAATTAAACAATAAAAATACTATTAAAGTTGTATTTATAATCCGATAAAAGGGTTTACTTAAGATAATTCTATATCCTTGGAAGATAATAACCAAATAAAGATTCAATAATTTCAATCTATCAATCAATTTAGATACACTTATGTTAGTCTATTATTTTTATTCTTAATGATTTGACATGAATAAATTCGATTTGTTTTTCATGGTTTGGTTCTAAGAAATTATAGTAAACAAATTATTTACACATTTTAATCGACATGTGACAGAGAGGAGACAGCAGAACGTATGAATATCTAGATGGTACAAAAAATAATCCTTATTAAAAAAAAAACCCTAGATAGCAGCGTCACTTTATGTGGTAGGAAATCCACGGGGAAGGCCGTACAGTGTGCGTTCCCGACATCGACCTTCCAAACGTGGTTAATTCATCATTTGGTCCCCCCACCTCCTTTATTATGTCTTTAGATTCCGTCGATGCGCGCAACCGCTTTCCCCTCGTTTTTCTAATTTATGTTCTTTCTTATATATTAGAAAAAAGATTAAAAAAAACACATGAGACCATTATACTTTAAAAATAATTAATATAGTACGAATCAAATTATTTTAATAGTTAAAAGCATTGTTATTGTTCTCAGATGTCATTAGTTTGAGTATCAACGACTGTAAGAGTGATTAAACGTTAATCATCAAATGATTGAGAGATTACATAAAACATATACTACTTTGTAATCACTTTTAGGGTAGTCTTTAAATTATTTTTCTACTCAATGTGATTCTTCAACTCATAAAACAAATATAATGTGATCTTTTGACCAATATTTTTCGTCATTGACCGTTATGCTGCTGACACAATAATTCACAATGTTAATGTGACAGTTTAATGTGACTAATGATTTGACGAATGATATGAAAGATGGATTAATTTAGTTTTTTTGATATTGTTTGAGGACCAAATTAATTTTTTAAAAAGTTCATGAACTTAGTTATTTTGAAAAAATTAATTAAATTAAATATAAAAATATAAAAATTAAATTAAATTACCCAAAAAAACTAAAGGGCAAACTATACATTTAATATTTAAACTATCAGTTTTAGTCCATTTTAGTACTTAAATTTTTGATTTTTCAAAATCATAATTAAAGTTTAGTTTTGGTTTATTTTCGTATCCGCCGTTAAAAAATTTAACTTTTGTTTCATTTTAGTAATCCGTTCAAAATTTAACGTTAAGTTTTGAAAAAATTAAAGCAAAATGAAATAAAATTGATAATTTATGTAATAATCATGTTAAGTTTTTAACGGCATGGTACAAAAATGAAATGAAAATTGAACGTTAGGTGTGACTTTAAAAAAATTGAATGTTTAGGTACTAAAATGAATAAAACTGATAGTTTAAATACTAAATGTATAGTTTACCCAAAACTATATATATTAAAACTACTAAAAATAAAATAAAATAAAATATATATATATCACAAACTATAAATTGATAGCTTATAAACTATTAAAAAAATAAATATATGTTTTAAAAGATATATAATATATATAAATTTAATATATAATCGCATCATCAACATTTTTGTAAAGTATTCTTATTAGATTAGTTGAGACTTTAAAATTTTATATTTAAATATAATTAAGAAGAATAATAATTTATTATCAATACATATTTAATTATACTTTGAACAATCCAATAAAAATATAAAATTTATAAGCATCGACTAATCCAATTAGAGTACTTTGTATAAGTGTTGATGATATTATCATACGTTAGATGTATATATTATGTATAATATATATTTTTAAAATATTTTTGACTTTTTAATAAATTATATTTGATCATTTTATAGTTTGTGACATATATATATATATATATATATTATAGTATTTTTAGTATTTTAATTTTTTTTTAATTTTAAATTTTAAATAATGTATATTATCTAAAAAATTAAATAAGCATCTAAACTTTAAAAAAATCAATTTGTCATGTCATTATTCACATTATCAATTTATTATGAATTGTCACATCAACTCTATAAAACACCATATCATTATTATAAATCATCACATTAGCACATGATAAATCGTTGTATCAGTATCATAATGATCCACGATAAAAAATATATCAGAATTGTTTTTTAAATTAAAAATCACATTAAATGAGAAAATAATTCAAAGATTACATTAATTTTTTTCAAGAGTGCAATGATACCTTTTTACCTAGAAATAAAAGAGCAAAATAAGGAAGAAATACCGTTTACTTGTATATTTTTCTTTTTCGAATTTTGTTTACATGAAAGTAATAAATAATCAGCTTGTTCTTTTTAAAACAAAAACAAATCCTTAGATGCCAATTCCTTGGGAGAACCAGCGTACCCTCTTAAGAGGTTGACAGCTTTAAGCAAACTTTCTTTTAGTTTATATATATATATATATATTAATAATTGAATTAATAAGTATTTTTAATAATATAATATTTTGTATTTTTCTATTTTTTTGTGTTTTTAGAGCACATCTAAATAATTTTTGTATATTAAAAACATCAACTGGAGTAATTTTAACGATGAAATGACTAGTACATCCCCGTAAAGTAACAGCTGTCATGGTTAAAAAAGGTGGTGTGGAAACCCATGGAGAAAGCGCTTCACCGCAGCTTTACCTCCACCAATAATTTCTCTCACTGAAAAGAAAAGTGTTTAATTTCGTTTATTGAAGGGCAAAGTAAAAAATGGTCCCACGACAATAGGCTATTACTTTGTTGAGTCACAAATTATTATAAGTTATAAAATAATACTCTAATTACATGATATTGTTTTGTTGAGTCTAACTATGAAAAGTTGTAAAATGATCACCCAATTATTAATATATTCTAAGCTTCTATAATAATATTTTAGTTAGTATATTAATGTTCAATTCAGATTGCTATCAATTTTTAATAGAAAAGAAGAAATTTAGAATATATGAATAGTTGAATGATCATTTTATTATTTTTTATAGTCAAGTGACTAAATAAAGTAATGTCATATATTTAAAGGATCATTTTATAAATATTAATAATTATGAGATTCTCTTAATTCATTTATTATAAATAATCATAATATGTTATCTTCAATATCTCCTCTTCCATTTTATTATTTATCTCTGAAGCAAAACAGTAAATTCCAGTCTCTGTTTAACGGGAAAAAAGGAACGACGAATTAAAGAAAGAAAGAAAAACCCATAATTTTTTTCTCAACGGAAAAAACTTCTTTTTCCCGCGAATTCATTCTCAATTTTGACAGAGAAAGATTGTCTTTAAAGCCCTTTGCAATAAGGTTTTTGTTGGGAGGGCACATGAGGAGGGTTCTACCGGAAACATCTAAGCCTTCGTCAGAGCGCCCCACCACGTCGTCGACGTCGGTGATGGAGACGGTGAACGGATCTCACGAGTTCAAGATCACGGGGTATACTCTGTCGAAAGGTATGGGGGTCGGCAAGTATATAGCTTCCGATATATTCATGGTGGGTGGATATTTGTGGGCGATCTATTTTTATCCCGATGGGAAGAGCCCCGAAGATAATGCCACCTACGTTTCCTTGTTCATTGCTTTGGCGAGCGAGGGGACTGACGTTAGGGCGCTTTTTGAGCTAACGCTTTTGGATCAGAGCGGGAAAGAGAGGCATAAGGTGCACAGCCATTTTGGGAGGACGCTTGAAAGCGGACCGTACACTCTCAAGTATCAAGGCAGCATGTGGTAACAGTTTCTTTTCTTCCTCTTCTTCTTCATGCAATGGTTTGTAATTTCGTAAATTCGATTGGAATTATGGGGTGGTTTTTTTAGGGTTTTTTTACACTGATGGATTTTCTTTAGCTGATTAAAGTTTTGGTCGGTTTTGGGGTTTACCATTTAATGCGTTGATCTTGATTCTTATTTTATGATTTTTAATGGTGTTTTCATCGAGGCTTGCTAGATAGTAAGAACTGCATAATGGGTTGTTCTGGTTCTTGTGTTTGTAATTTGCAGTTTGACTTTGTTGTTTATGTGCTGGATTCGGTTCCTTTATCTTTTTGTTCCATTTATTGTGCTTTATGTTGGCTCTTAGGGGTGTTAGGATGTTTGTATAACAAGTTTGTTGCCTATAAAATAGCAAATCGCAATTGGGTTGGGGGGATTTGGAGGGATAAGCTTCTTTTTCGTAACATGCTTTTCGTATTGAAACGTATTTGGGATGGCCGGCAGAATATAATGTCATAAGAATTATGCTAATAGTAGCACTGTATGTTGTTAATTACTAATCTGTTTCTGAGGTGCATCCAAATGTGCATTGTGTTTTGCTCTGTGCATTCATTCTCCAGCTCATTTCCAGGCTGACCTTCATTGCTAGTTTCGTGTATGTGTTTATTTATTTCGTTATTAGTATTATTATTTAGGTTTTTCTTTCCTTCTCTTACTCTCATTTAAGTTTCAGTGATTTGTGAGTTTCAAATGATTTTTAAAGACCTGTGATATGAGGGAGAGATTGTTAGGATTAGTGAGGATAAAGATAAACGGTAAACGTACTTTTTTGGCTCTTGAACTTGACTTCAAAATTCAATTTGGTACTTAAGGTTTTTTGGTCCAAATTGGATCCTGATCTTGGGGGACTCAGTCAAGCAAACCCCAATCTATACGAAGCCTAGGCATTTACAGGGACAAAATTTTAGGTCCTACCGGGAGTTGAACCCAGGTTCGTGGATTCAAAGTCCAAAGTGCTAACCACTACACCATAGAACCAATTTATTTTTCGAAGCTACGCTTGTATCTGGATTCTCTCGTGATCTATGTCAATCAGCAGTCAGCACAGTTTAAACTTACTGCAGCTTGTTTAAATATGGTTGCATCATGAAGCATTTGGTTACAATCAAGTCATACATGATTGACGAAAGACGTATGTAACAACATTTTTGCTAGCCTAATTGAATAATTCCATAGTCTATAGCTCTTGATTGCTCATGATATCTGGCCTTTACTAACTAGATGATAAATGTTATAAAGACATGGAATGCGGTATATTAGTTTTTGGTCTTAGCTACTTGGCGCATTGACTCTTAATGCCCAATGTTTGTGTGTTGGGGGTGAGTTGAGGGGGGGGGGGGTTGTCTAGTTCCAGGGTTTGATTCCTCTATCCTACCCCTGCAATAAACAAAAAGAAGCATAATTTATTTGTTTCCCTCATTATGATGAACTCTGGTGAGTGGTGAAGTAACTACTTTGATTTGCTGCAGGGGCTATAAACGATTGTTCAAAAGAACTCTACTTGAGCAATCGGACTACCTCAAAGATGATTGCCTCTCTGTCCATTGTAGTGTTGGCGTTGTTAAGTCACATACAGAGGGTCCTAAGATCTACTCCATAGCTGTACCTCCTTCAAAAATTGGTCATCATTTTGGACAATTGCTAGAAACTGGAAAGGGATCTGATGTAAGCTTTGAAGTTGATGGAGAACTCTTTCCTGCCCACAAGTTGGTACTTGCTGCACGTTCACCTGTGTTTAGGGCACAACTTTTTGGTCCTATGAAAGATCAGAATACAAAGCAAATAAAAGTTGAAGATATGGTAGCTCCAGTTTTTAAGGTTCAGTAAAATACCTCCTCTTCTTATGTTGGACAATAATTCATGCTACTTCTTGACCATCATAATGCATTGGTGATATACGCATGTCGTCAACTTGTCCTTGATAGAATTCCTGATGTTAATGATTAGTTCTTAGAAACTTTTTCATAACAATTATTTACTGGGTGACTGATGTTATAACAAAAATGTTGGCAGCAATATGGTTGTACCTAATAGAAAATTCATGAACATGCATTTCCTTACATATCTAAAAACCATGATATACATGCTTCATTTGAGTTTTCCAACATCTATTTGTCAAACTAAAAGAAAATTTGACTATGCAAGTATGTAATCTATGTAGGACAAATTACTGATATAGTGTAGTTTCTATTCCCTGTTTTGCACGTTGCAGGCCATACTTCACTTTATATACTGGGATTCTCTACTCGACATGCAAGAGCTCACTGGTCTCAACTCAAAGTGGGCCTCTACATTGATGTCTCAACATCTGCTTGCAGCTGCAGATAGGTATGGGCTAGAGAGGCTGAGAATAATCTGCGAGGCCAACCTTTGTGAGGAAGTTGCCATCAACTTGGTGGCAACTACATTGGCCTTGGCTGAGCAGCACCATTGTTTCCAGCTGAAAGCTGTGTGTCTCAAGTTTGTTGCAATGCCTGAAAATCTTAGAGGTGAGTTCTCTAATGTTTTTGACATTTAAATCAGTATTGTATCAGGGTTATCAATGCCCAAAAAGAATTTTGCTTTTAGAGAAGCATAGCAACTTATCATGTGGCTATATAATTGTAGGTTTTTGTTAACAATGTTTTCTCGACTAAACCTTTGATTTCGGTTTTTTGATCGCAGCTGTAATGCAAACAGATGGTTTTGAGTACTTGAAGGAAAGTTGTCCGTCTCTGTTGACGGAGCTGTTGGAGTATGTGGCTAGAGTAAACGAGCACTCCATGTTTACATGCAAACATGGGAATGAAGCCATCTTTGATGGAAGTGATGCGAATGGCAGGCGGGTGAAGCAACGGCTTTAGTTGCAGCATGCCACAGTAACTAGAAAAAAGAAATTAACGACCAAAATAGAGCAAAATATAATTCTCTATAGGACTATATTTTTTTGGTATTTGTAAGAGATGTAAATTCAGTTGTGCTTTGTGTTGAGAAGTGTTTACACCATTGAAATTCCTAGTCTTTAACGCTTATCATCTGTGCCGGTAGAAGACCTGGTAATTCTTAATATTATTTGGTTTTAAAATTTTAAATAATATGTTGTATATTAATTGATTGATTTGATATTATAAGGTAATTAAATATAAATTTAATTGGAAAAAATAAAATAATTTTTTAAAAGAAAGTAAATATTATCGTGATGATATTTCATTTTAATAATTTTATATTATTTTTAATTAAAATAATTAAAATTAAATTAAATAGATGTTTAAAAAACGGCTTATAATATTATTATAAAGAGCGGCGAGGATTTGTTTTACAATGGTTACTCGTCCCATTTGTGTTTTCACTTCTGTAATTCCACAAAAGGAGAAAAATACGAAAATGGGCCTACAGATTATACAGACTGATAAGCAGTAGGTCCAATTATTAGCCCATATAAAGAATGAGTTAGTTGGGTCATTTCACGTGGATCACCCCCAGATTCGGCCACTCACTCTTAACCTGCACCATTTCTTCCCTTCCTACTCTTAAACTACACCCTACCCATATACTTTAGCATTCACATGACCGCACCATTTCAATATCTTGTATATTCCGTTTTGTGTGTGATTATTTTTTGTTTCGTATAAAGAATCGAGGGAGCGTTTCAAACGCCTTCAAAATTTTGTGCTAAATTGTTACGGCAGAACCCTAGAGAGAACCAAATTGTTACGCCTTTTGGGCGATTTGGCGTGCCTTTGGGTTCCGATTATTTTTTTAATACACTTTCCGATGGCACCCGCCAGAAGGAAAGGCACCAGTAAGGCGGCTGCTTCCGCCTCAGCTCGCCGACAATGGAAAGTCGGCGATCTTGTCCTTGCTAAAGTCAAAGGTTTCCCTGCTTGGCCTGCCACGGTATGCCAATACTAATATCACTATCCTTTTTCTTTTCTTTTCTTTTTTGTATATTTTATGAAAATATTTATTATTTTAGAATTCGTTTATTTCATTAGGGTTTATAGTTGTATGTGAGGTTTTGTTGATAATTATTTTTGTCTGTTTAGGTGGCATGGTTAATTTATTTTTATCTAGGGTTTAATTCTGTGTTGCTAGAGTGGAAGGTTCTTTTTGTTTTACATATTTAATATTTTTTTGTTTTTTAATTTACTTGGTACTAATCAAAAGAAGAGATTATTGTAATTTGTTCATTCTAAATCTAGAATGAATTTATTAGAAGATTACATTAGGAACCATGTTGGCTAGTACTATTGAAATCTGATTGTGCAAAATCTATTTTTTGGTTTCCGTTTCCTGCTAAAATTGCTTAAGAGTATGCACATATTTGTTTTTAAAGATGTTTTTGTCATATCTAACTTTTGATTTTTTAATGCTCTCAATCAACCTGTTTTTCTTCTAATTTCTCCCCTCTGATCAGTGATCTCCACCCCTTTATTTTATTTTTTTATTTGGTAGCATAATCATTTTCTTCTCATGTTTTTATTTCCTATTGCTTGCAACAGATAAGTGAGCCTGAGAAGTGGGGTTATTTATCTGATAGGAAGAAAGTTTTGGTATACTTTTTTGGAACACAACAAATGTAAGTGAACATTTCATTGTTATCTTTCTGTTATACTCAACCTTTCCATTTGCTGTTCTGTTCTCTTTTTCATTGGTTTTAACCCATATGCTGTTGGTTTGAACCTCAATATGCTGTTGGTTACATGAGTGATCCTTTCCTTAGTTTAGATTGGATCTTCTTTTCCATGTTATCTAATGCCTTATGCTCTATTTGGGCTGCCTTTGGTTCTTCCACTTTATATAATAATATTTACCCTGATTATAAGTTTTACAATTGGATATGTGTTATAAAAGAAGTTTTACACGCTGGGAAAAAAAGAATTCTAGAATATCAAGTTCCTGGAAGTATTTCTGGTATTTTTTCTGATTTTGGAGAAGTCATGTAGTTATTGGTTGATGCTGATGAGCTATCTTTTCCTTAGTTTAGCTTGGATCTTCTTTTGCATGTTATCTTACAGTCAGCTTTATGCTCTCTTTGGGCTTTCTTTGTTTTTTTCCTCATTATATTATAATATTTAGCCTGATTATAAGTTTTATAGTTTTTGTTTGGAGAACCTGTGCAGGGTTTCTTGAATGGTAAAGCTATTGTAATAGGAAATGTACTTTTTGGAGGCTTCCAAGAAAAGTGGCGTATCTTCAGTTGAGATACTACCATTCTCATATATCTTTTCTTCTTGGTTGTGACCAATATTTGTTTGTAAATAAGTTTTACATGCTGGTAAAAAAGAATTCTAGAATATCAAGTACCTGGAAAGTATTGCCGGTGTTTCCCCGCAATTTAGGAAAAACTTGTGTGATTATTTTTTTATGCTTATTTTTAGTAAGAGATGTTGCCCTTAAACTTGGAAATCTACAGACAAGCAAAAATATATGTAGTTATTTCATAACTCGGGTTCACAAGTTCATTATTTTTTTTCAGTATTGTAATTGTACTTTTTTCTTCCTAATGATATTTCATTTGTTTAATTTTTGATGGTAAAGATTTGTGTAACCTCTTAAAAAGGTGAAAAGGGTGGTGGAATGAAAAATACACTATTTTTAATGTGTAACACCTTTATGTATAATAAGAATTTAGTTACTCACTTCTATTATGTCTGCTATAACTACATTATCTAAATAAACTGCATGACTAAAAGCTATTGCATATATTTGTTACAGGGGTTACTAATCATTATTTTTACTATAAATATTGTTTTAGAACTTTCTTCGATTGGTCTTTGTCGTTTGGGTATTTATATTTGTTATATTGTTATGGAAATAAATCATGTATATCCTTTACATTGACTAAAAGCAATTGGATGTTTTTGTTATAGGAATTAGGATTCATGATAGTTACTATAATCATGTTATAGGAATTAGGAATCATGATAATTACTAATCATTAAGATTTTATTAGGAGACGTTTTAGGATATTTATGAGTATTTTATATCATTAGAAGTATTTCCTTAGTAGTAGACTTGCTTTTAGTTACTTTACCCATTTATTTGACCCAACATAGCCTTTGTTTAAGAAGCCAATTTGAAAGAAATAATGTTAAGTCAGTTCTTATCGATTTTTGCAAGATTTAAGATACTCTCCAAAAAGTGTAAGGTCTGGAATTCCCTCATACGAGCTCCACTATCAAATCCCAGAATGTTACAATCATAACAAATTGTTAGTTACGACTGTATCAAATTGTTACGACTGTATCAAATTGTTACGATTGTTGTTTGGGGATTGATAGTGAGCTCGTTGAAGGGAATTCTGTTATTGTTGTTTGGAGTCTGATTTAACTTTATTTCTTTCAAATTGACATCTTAAATAGAGGTCAAATTAGAGTTACCAAAGTGATTAAAAGCAAGTCTCCTCCTAAGGAAAGACTTATAATGATATAAAATACTCCTAAATAAGATCTCCTTATAATAACCATGTAATTGATACAAGGGCAACCTATAACAAAATATTTTTGTAATTTTCTCTTGGCCTGTCACTCTGGTATTTATATTTGTTATTTGACACAACGCTATCCTTTTGCTCCTTGTATGTTGTTTTCTTTGGCATGTTTCGGGTTTTGTTAGTTCTTATGGCTACCTTTCATGCAGAGCGTTCTGTAATCCTGCTGATGTTGAAGCATTTACGGAAGAGAAGAAACAATCACTTTTGGTCAAACGTCAGAGGAAGGGTGCTGATTTTGTTCGCGCGGTCCAGGAAATTATTGACAGTTATGAGAAGTCAAAGAAGCAGGACCAGGTTAACAATTGTAGTTCTGATGATAGAGTCTCTCGGGCAAATTGTGGGAACTCAGTTGACTCATCTGCACCAAAGGATCTAACTGACACTTGTGAGGCCACGGCTGAGATTCTGTTAGAAACTTTGAATGTTGTTACAAGTCGAAATGATCCAAGCCTTGCAACTGAGGTTGCTCAAGCTGAGGCAAAAATAGATGGTCTGTGTGAAATAGAATCCATTTCAGAGCAACCTCCTGATACAGTGTTGGTTAAAGAAACACCAGCACTGACTATTTACTCGTCAAGAAAAAGATATGAAGGTTTGCAATTTCAAAAATCCATTGCACAGAAGAAAGCAGCTCAGGTTCGAAGGGTTAGAAGCTCATCAAGGATGGAATCATCTAGATTCCAGAACTTTATGAAGCTATCTAATGATGTTAGGACTGCTTTTGATATATCAACAAATGTAATCCTTGATGGATCCCTGAGGAGGAATAAAAGATTCAGGAATTCTGCAGAAGCTTCTGAGAGTGGTGATGTTGACTCATCTGTATTAATGTCAAATGGTAGCAGTAGTGATAACGGCTCGGAAATTGCCACTGTTGATTCGGATGGTGATAGTTTGAATGAAGCCAGCACCATGGATTCTAGTTGTAAACCTGAACACTCTGAGAATGTTCTTGAATGTTTAGAAGGAAATGTTGAGTTGAGTAAAGGGGTTGATTTCCAAATAAAGGCCGTTGTGAAGAAAAGGAAACCGTTTAGAAAGTGGATGAATAATGACCCTGCTGAGCCTCCTGCTAGCATGGGAAAAGAAGCAAACTTGGATTTAAGAATCAATAATGCTAGGGAAAATATGCAAAATACATGTGAAAATTCTAACAATAAATGTCCCAAAGATGATGGAGATGAGCACCTACCGTTGCTGAAAAGAGCAAGAGTTCGCATGAGCAAAATGGAAGCTGCTGGTGAGTTCAATTGTTCTTTATCAACTGAAGAAAAGCCTGTTAATGAAGGTGCAGTCAATTCATTGGAGCAGACGAGTCCAGTGTCGAGCTGTCACGACGATTCTCCTATTGATAGAGACTCTTTAGATTTGAAAGGAGCTTTGGTTAATGTATCACCTTCAAAAGATGACATTCAAGTTCAAGGAAGCAGACCAGAACATTCAGAACCTTTGAAAATTGAGAGAAATCAATTAGGCTGCTTGGCTGGTGGGGAAGCTGTCTTGCCTCCTTCTAAACGTCTCCACCGTGCTTTGGAAGCTATGTCGGCTAATGCTGCTGAAGATCAGACATGTGCCGAACACACACAAAAACTGGAAACACCAGATGGTCTATGCCATGGTTCTCCAATAAGGAGTGATTCTCATATAAATGTTAAGAACAAAGAAGCCAGAGGGTTGGAGCAAGGTGGCATGGATTTGATTGTGAATAATGATTCTGGGATCTTTTCCATGCCAAATTCAATGTCTTTGGAGAAATTAGCCAAATCTTCTTTGGAATCAGATATTTGCAATCAACCAGCGGATAGTCCTAACAGCCCAAAGCATGAACTCAATAAGGATGTCTTAGTTCAGTCCATGAACCATGTTAGTCAAGATACTCGTGAAGGTCAAAGTTTAGAATACTTATCACCTATTCCTGGCAAAAGCCAGTCTCCCAATAGTTCTTCAGATCAGCAGTTGCTTTCAAAGAGTGATTCTGATGTTGAACCTGTTGGCTTAAGCAGTTTTAGTGCTGAAAATCCTAATGAACAGTTGAATACATCAGAACATACTCATATGAGTTTGGATCCTAACTCAGTGACTGGGAAAACTTGCAAAATTTCACCCCAAGATGGTTCAAATGTGTTTCAGTGTGCTGCCCAGCATACCGGTCATGAGAAAATCGAGTCATTGAAGTCTCAAACTGATGGCAACAGCATAGTCCATAGCATGTAAGCATTGCTACCTTATTTCTATCACAGCTATTCAGTGAATTGATATTGAGAGACATTTTTGTTAAAGATATTCATGAAAATTTCAACATTTAACAGTGCATTTCCACTTGTCATCATGGAAGTGGTTTCTCTAATATAGTCTTTTTGAATATATGAATGTAATGAGTAATGACCGTAAGTGAATTAAATAGTTGCAATGCTGATATTAAAGTAAACCTTGTAAAAGAATTGATTTCCCAAAGGGACTTATCTTAAGTGTTTCCCTAGTTTTTTTTACGCCTTTAGTAAATACCTGCCATTAATTTTTTGATTTGCCTTTCTTGTTTGACTTAGTTGTGAGGTTCCGGAAGCATTTCAAATGGACCCAAGGCGAATGACAACTAGTTTGGTTTGCAATGACAACTCAGACAAGGATGTTGTAGGTGTCCGGTTAAGTTCATCTTCAGTTGATGAAGTAGATTTTCTTGCTAGAGTCTCTCCTTCCAATGCTTCAAATTTTCACGTTTCCACTTCCGAGAGTGCTAATATAATTCAAAGCAATGGGTACTGTAGTCCAATTGTTCAGTCCAGATCCAACAAATCTCTATCTGTTTTGATTGCTGACGATGAAGGTAAAGCTGACTCTGTGGTTTCTGAAAGACCCAAATCTGTCAGTAAGTGCAGTAATTACACTGAAACACATGCTGCTTTGTCATCCTTTGAAAATATACTTGCGGTATTAACGAGGACAAAAGAGAGCATTGCTCGTGCAACACGCATAGCTATTGATTGTGCAAATTTTGGTGTGTCTGCTAAGGTAGGATATTTCTCTACTTTTTTTTTTATTTGCTTTAATTATAATTGTTGGGTTTCATGGAATCGGATTCTAGTGGCATTAAAATTGAGGGATATGTAAAGATTTCTGGAGAGGTTTTATGTGGACCTCTTGCACAGAAGAAATTAGGTTCTATTGTGGAAGTCAAGGACATTCTAGTGATAAATGTAGTTAAGAATAAAAAATGGTTGAACAAAGGGGATAATTTAAGTTACTCATAAATTATATGTGAAGTTTTTAGTTAGTTTCCTGGCATTGTCAACTTATTCAGGCCTGAAAAGTTGGGGACAATAAATTGTTGAATTAGGAATCTGTTCTAAATTGTTTTGGGAAAAAGGGTCACTGAATGAGTGAAAAATTATTTTTCAGTGTAATAACTGCTTGCAGTATTTGAAAGCTTTTAATCCCCAATTGTCTTTTTGAGTCCATGTGATTATTTAAGGTTAAATTAGGGTAAATGATTTTAATTATAGCTTATGAATGTTTATATATTTCTTGTATGTTCATGTAGTTAAGTATTTTTTTGGGTTAAAGTTGTTAAACTTTTCTTTTTATAAGATTGTTTGTTGCTCATCAATGGCATTTCTGCTGCTTCAGCATTAACACTCTAAATGTAACTTAGACATCGACGAACTTGGCATTAAAAGTCAGAAATTTGTTTGTTCCCCTTTTTTGGTTTTTTTATTAAGACTCAGTGTACTATATAGAGAATAGTGAGAGAGTGGTTGTGTTCTGAGAATATCTTTATGTATGATAGCATCCATATATACTAAAACATCAATTCCATGTGAAATGCATTGATTTCTTTATTTTAACATAGGTTGTGGAAATCATTGCTCAAAATTTGGAAAGTGAGTCAAGTTTGCACAGAAGGGTGGACTTGTTCTTTCTCGTGGATTCTATTACTCAATGCTCCAGGGGTTTGAAAGGTATTATTTATGTTTAACTAATAACTTGAAGTATAATTTAGCAATATGATGGGTGTTTGGTTATGTATCATGAATGTGACTGTCCAGGTGATGGTGGTGGTGTCTACCTTTCAGCTATTCAAGCGGCATTGCCTCGTCTACTCTCTTTTGCAGCTCCGCCTGGACCTAGTGCACATGAAAACCGTCGGCAGTGCTTAAAGGTGAGTGACTTTTGGCTGCTTTGTTTTGGATTTTTTGTTTCTCACATACTTCATTCGATATAGGTTTTGAGACTTTGGCTGGAGAGAAAAATCCTTCCAGAATCTGTTGTACGCCACCATATAAGAGAACTTGATTCGTTTAGTGTTTCCTCTTCTGGCGGGCCCTTTTCTCGGCGTACCGCTAGAACAGAGAGACCATTCGATGATCCTGTCAGAGACATGGAGGGTATGCTTGTGGATGAGTATGGAAGGTATGAATTTCTGGATCTCTTTAATTCGTGATTACTTGTAAAATTTCTAGAATTTTGTTTCTAATATATTTTTGTTTCCTCAGTAATTCTAGCTTTCAGCTTCCTGGATTTTGTATGCCCCGAATACTGAAGGATGAGGATGAGGGAAGTGATTCTGATGGAGGTAGTTTTGAGGCGGTCACTCCAGAGCATGATTCTCGAATCCCTGAAGAACTAGAGGCAAACCCTTCAATTGAAAAGCGCAGACATATTTTGGAAGATGTTGATGGTGAACTTGAGATGGAGGATGTTGCCCCCTCTGAGATTGAAATGAGTTCAGCCACTGCTGCTACTGGTTTCAATGCTGCACAAGCTTCAGGAAAGCAGGGTGATCAGCATTTTTCTTTGCCATTTGCCCCCCCTTTACCTCATGATGTGCCTCCATCATCACCCCCACCCCTGCCTCCAGCGCCACCTCCCAACCCTCCTGGCCCTATTTCTGATCACTATGGAAATGTTGTTATTTCAACAAATCATACAAGCATACATGTAGGTCTTGTTTGTTTTGCCTGCTGTGATTTCATTTTTCTTATTATTTAAGAGTGATATATGTTGATATTTCAATTCTTTGTTTTGATTATATTTGCAGAACAGTCAAGATGATTTGCGATCTACAGTTCCCTCATCAGTTGCACCCAGAATTAATCCAGCTCTATGCACCTCTCCAGTTCCTTATCATGGTCATGAGTCGAGAGATCTTCCGGTCCCTATGCAGTTTTCTGAGTTTAATACCTCTTTCAACAGTTACTCTGTGCATCCTATGAATAATATTCAACAAACTGATGGTCCGAACTTCCATCACAATGACTACCCACCGCCACCCCCTCATCCTCTGCCCTCAAATCAGTTCTCATATGGTAATTCAGGCCCGCATATGAACCCGATGAGGGATGCCCCACCTCCTCCCTATTCCAACAGATACTATTCACCTAACATGGAAGGGGGTAACTATTATAATAGCCATGAGAGAATGCAGCCGCCCTCAAATGAGCCAAGAGACAACTGGAGGTTTCCTCAGCCACCTTTCTGTGGTAGGTTCTTTCAAATATATTTTCTACTGATGTTAATGCAATATGCTGTTATATTTTATGTTGCTCAGACTCGTCATTGTTATGAAGTACCTGTGTCTGATACTTGCATACGGGGATATGACCTCCAAGGATCCTTCACATATAGAGGAACTTAGAAAATCTAGCCATATTTGTGACCGGCAGTTGCACGCACCTAAGTCCGAGTAACATATGTTAATGCCTTTTTTGTCTAATGACATTTGATTGTACTTGTTTTATGTTTGCTCATATTAGGTCCGCATTATGCTGATAATCCGGAAGCACCATATGGCTACGGTTCATATGGCGGGCCCCTGTGTGAGCCAACAAGGTATCCAAACCATGGGTGGGGCTTCCATCCCCCTTCAATGAATCACAGAAACTCCTTTCCAGTCAGACATCATCCAGAAGGTGTAGTCCCTGTTGGATCAAGAGGTTTGCATTTCTTCTGTGAGATTGTGCCGTGCAAGAATATGCATAAATATAAAAAAAGCTTTTTCTTAGACTTATTTTTTGCATTCTTGCTAGATAGATACCCTGCATTAGGGCAGGTTCTCAGTAACCTTTTTGTGTTTCAGCTCCATGCTGGCGGCCAAGATGATGCCAAATATACAGAGAGAGCTGCTTTAATGTTAATTAGTAGGTTGTTGTGATTAGTTTTCATTTTGAATCTAATGCTCTCTCAATAAAATTCTTGGTTGATTACACTTTTTTTTTTTGCTTTTGATATGGTTTCAGATGGCAGGATGCTGAAAAGAGTTGCCTTTTTTTTGGAGGATATATATTGTTTGCAAAGGAAGGAAGTGGTAAATGAGATTCGAGTTGGGAGACAAGATCAGCAATGTTGGCAATGGCAGTGGCAGTGCTGGTTTTTGTAAATGTATGTATTATATCATCTCTACCGAAAGATAGATAGGTAGATAGGGGACATAGGTAAGGGCTGAGAAGTGTGAACTTAACCCCCTAATGGTCAATGTATCTAAAATTTTATTATTATTATTTTTGCATAATTTATTTCAAAAACGCCCTTATAGCATTAGTCCCCCCCTTTTTAAAATTAGCCTATTTTACATGGCAATCGATCCGTTTTGGTAGTTTCATAATTGTAAGTTTTAGAACCCCATTTTGGTATGTAAACAGTACTTGGTAATGTTGTTGATATTGGCAGAGAATATAGATATGATGGGTGTGAGCCAACTCCGAGGCAACCAATCACTTGTATGCATTGGGAATCCCAAAGTAGTGTTATTCATTTATTGTAGGAAAATGACAAACTGAAAATTGTCTTTATACATGCAAACAAATATATAACGTGTGGAGCACAAACCTTAATAAGTAACTCGAGTTTGGATCAAGATTCGCATTAATTTATTTACCTTAATCAAAATCAAAAGTCATTATTAATTTATTTGAAGGTGGTTTGATTAATAAGTCGGAAAATAATTTGACTCCTTTTGAAGTATTTAGGACCAAAATTATCTAAATTAATAATGAAAACTAAATAAACAAAAAATATTAAGGTAAATAAATTTATATATTAAAATGACAATTGCAAATATTAAGGAATAAATTTATTAATCAGAAAATTTTAGCAGAAAATTTGATTGTATTCGATTTCATGAATTAAATGAGGTAATTCTTCATCATGAAAAAAAAAAGCAGTATTCAATTTTGTTTCTTAAATAGAAAATAAATCAAGGGAATGTTGATAAAACGCTGCATTTGTTGGAATAATAACATGCGTGATAGTTTGTGTTGATATGATACTATTTATTACCATTTTTGTCTCATTAAAATTATTCTTTATTGGCTTTTTTTTATCAATTTTATAAAACTTTAATTCTTTATTATTTAAAATTTACTAATAATAAAAATATAAAAAATATTCTTTTTAAAAAGCATAAAATATATATTTTATAAAATTTAAATTTTAAAATATTTAAAATAACTGTGATCAAAGTCTAAAACATTTGACTTTTGAAAAGTCATGAAGAGACAATTAGAGTGGGACAGAAGAGGTATGCAAGTTAGATTGATAAATAAATTTAAAACTATTATAATTAAAAACACTATAAAATATGTAAAAATTGTGATGCACAATGTTACATTATTAATCTTTTTAAAAGATTATAAGTGAATTACTTAGTTTTAACACTTAAAAGATGGAGGACAAAATTAAACTTATAAAAATGCAAATTCAAAAGCTTCACGGCTGTCATCATTATTAGAATAAAAACCATAGTTTGTATTTGAAAAAAAAAAGTGATTGGCATAAATGATCTCAGAATTATCATTCTTCATCAATAAGTAAGCCTATTCCATGAGAAGTGTGATTCCAAGTACGCATTTCTATTACAAGATCTTATGCATTTAAAATCTTGTTCAAAAAGTAAAAGATAATATGCATTTAAACGCTCCATGATTTCTGGGGACCGGGAAGAGTTTTTCAGAAGGATGAACATGGAAACCAAGTCTGCGAGATTCGATGAGTTCATTAAAGGAAAAAGGAAACGTAAAAAAAATCCAATTAGCATTTAAGTTTTGAATTTTATTTTGACAATTACGGTGGAGTTTTGCCTGCATAAGATTACATACTTAACATGGAAATTTCCTTGTTAAAAAAGAAAGCTCAATTTCAGGAATTAAATTAATAATTACAGTCGTTATTTTTGCATAATCTTGCTGGTCTATTTGCCCCAGCCTGGAAGACCCACCTAATCACTTCAAGCCAAAACGGCTACAAAACGCAAAGCAGTCCACAAAAACAAAAACCCGAAGTTGGAAAATATCTGGGAAGCAAAAAATTGGAGCTTCTGAGTCAGTTCCTCAGAAATCAATCCATGAATTTACAGTCAAGGTTCTTTCTTGCTCCACCGTGAATGATTTCGATGTTGGGTGGTTTTGACTTTTTTGTTTGTGTTGCAGGATTACAGAAATCAGGACGTTGACCTTAGCACGTTCAAAGGAAAAGTTCTCCTTGTGGTTAATGTTGCCTCTAAATGGTTTTTTTCCCTCTCCTCTCTTATCTTTCTTCAACTTCTTCTTCTTCTTTTACCCTTATTTTACTGTGATTTTTTTGAACAGTGGGCTTACAGATTCAAATTACACCCAGCTGACTGATCTTTACAACAAATACAAGGACCAAGGTTAATTGTCTTCTTTTTTCCTGTTCCTCTGTGAAGAAATCTATATATGCCAATTAGTCCCCTAGATGTCTTGATTTTGTAATCATAAATTTAGTCAATTTGGTTACAAATTCCATCCTTGATATGCTAAAGACTTGAAGATGCCTTTTTAATTATTTTATGGCTGAAGGACTGGAGATCCTGGCATTCCCATGCAATCAGTTTCTGAATCAGGAACCTGGAAGCAGCCAAGAGGCACAGGAGTTTGCCTGTACAAGATACAAGACTGAATACCCCATTTCCCAAAAGGTAATTCAATTACATCTAGCAATAGATGGTGGGAATTGTTTGTACAAGATGTTGTGGTTGTTTTGCCTATATATGGAAACTACTGGTAAAACCCAATTATATATTTTACTTGTATGAAGAATAGAGATTCCATGTATATGCTTGAGGTTTGCACTAACATCGGTCTTTGTTTTCGGTTTTGTATTCGTGCGTGTAATTTTTATGTTATTTGCTGGTGATTTGGTTTCTGCTATAGCTGACTAGTAACATCCAGGGACATGTTGAGGACTTGCATTTTCTAGCATTGCTGCTAAATTTTTGTTATTTTATAGGTTTACGTCAATGGTCCGAAGACAGAGCCTGTGTACAAGTTCTTAAAATCAAACACATCTGGGTTTTTGGGAACGAGGATAAAGTGGAACTTCACAAAGTTCTTAGTTGATAAGGATGGCAATGTCCTTGCTCGCTATGGCCCCAACACCACGCCATTGGCCTTTGAGGTACTCCCTCCTCCCATCTCGCTGCATCTCACGGTTGAATTATACATTAGACAATCTGTTTCAATCGGTTCGTAACTGATAATCGATTAGCCTAACCTATCTTAATCGGTTAAATTTGCATCTTATCTTGTTGTGAAAATAGAATTATACTCTTTATGTGCTGTGCTGTGTTTCTTGCCACAGGCTGACATCAAGAAAGCTATGAAAATAGGAATATATTTTCTTGCCGATACCTGAAAGTTATGAAAAAGAGTGGGACATGGGAATCAGAGGAATGATAATAGGAATATATAGATGCAAGTGTTGGCTTCATTCCCACGATAATGTATGCTTCTGTTTTAGCTTATTGACTATTGTTTTTCATTCTCTCTGTGTTGGAAACAACACGTACCATGGCATCCACTACCATTTGCTATTGACACACTTCCTTTGCTGCATTTGAGCTGTTCATTTCCTCTAACAATGATCATATTTTCTATTTTCTAATATGATGTCTGATATATCTAAAAGAGTCTTTGAAATTCGCTTCCTGTAAAAATCAGATGAGATGCCTGTGAATATATAAATTGCCAACCGTTCCTATGAATCTCCGTACAACTAATGCAATAAAAACTTCCCGACAATTTGAAATTCAAGTTTGCAGCTATTTTCATACTGCAACAACCATTTGTATAAGCTTCCACATTGTATAAGCTTCCACATATCTTTAAGGATAAATAAAGTCATTAAGCATCAATTCAAAGAACAATCCAGCACCGACTATGGATAGCTAAAATAAATATAAGTTTCAGTATTCAAAGGAAGTGACCACATTCAATATTTTTATATATTTAACGCTGAACAAAACTTGTGCGTTTGTATTTGCCACAAAGAGATAAACAATGTATGTTCCCTGAAAAATGGCTATATGCTAAAGAAATGGAAACTGTGTCAAGGGATCAAGGTTCTCGGCACACATTGTTAGTAGAATAAAAATGCAGTCTTCAAAATGATATTTATAACCCGGGTTTTTTTTTTGGGGGGGGGGGGGATGGATTCCTACAATGCATCGTTGGTTCATATGGCTTCACTGTACAACTCAGAATTCAGCGTCTCTGTCAAAAATTCCCCATCCATCATCCGACAGTTCTTTGCCATCAGCTTTGTTTCTTTCATCTGATGATCTGCTTTTGGGTGATTGTCCATCAACAGATGGTGTCAGGCTTCTTTTCTTTGGGGTTTTAGCTGTTTCCCACTGCCCGGAACCAAGATCTGATGTGGCACTTTTCAGAGATGAACCGGAGGAGGCCAGGATGCAGCTGGTTTGGCTTGAGGATATTGATTTACTAAATAGAATGCGCTCATCAAACCTCTGTTTAAGCACTCGTATATCCTCACAAATAACAGAAATTTCTACCCTGCAAAAAGGATTAAAAGGAAATGTTAACCATTCTTCGTTTGATATTCCGTTCCTCACAAACAACAAATAATGATGTTAGCATGTATGATCCATTGTGGTAAAAATTCATACTCAACACCAGAGGCATGGCCATCATATATATAGCAATCATATATTTTACCGATCACCAGCTCATATTCTTATTATAGCCAACAAAAGAGCAGATACACTTTTAACAGGTTCCACTTCTCTCAGTTAACAATGTTCCGCAGACTCATAAATCAGACCTAAAATAAGATAAAATTCCATATGCAAATGGATCAAAATATATATAACCATGCAATAAAACTTACTGCAATGCGTCAACAATTTGACCGCGGTCCATAAGAAACTCATGTAACTGCAGTGAAGCAAGAAAATAGAATTAATAAGTCAAAACTATGTAATCTCTTTTAAGCTTTGTCAAGTCTCACAAAAAGTAGTAGAGAGTGGACTGAAATGAATGCTACCTTGGAATTTTCTTCCGCCTCCTGCCTTTGAATCGTGGACTCTTCAACCACCCCCACCATAATGGTTCTTGTTCAGCAAGAGCATTACGAGCAGATTCTTCTTTTTCCAGTTTTTCCTGCACTGCTGCTCTCATCAACTCCTGTGCAGCAAATTGTCGAGCTTTGAGGGTTCGACGCATCTGTCAATAATGTATACAGGAATTAAATGAACATACGACAAACTCAAAGTCTTTCATATCAATATCACGTTCTAGTTAAATACACCTTAAAAATCCACGGATTATCTAGCACAAGCCACTAACCAACTTATTCAAACATGATTATGTTTCAATTTTCAAGCAATGGCTTATTATCTCAGGATTAAGAAACTCACTCGAATATTGGTTTATGGAAGAAAAAAAACTGATAAGAGTTTGTTCTGTAAAAAGTTTCACTTCTCCATATTCCCACCACATGGACAAAAATATCAATCAATCAAGATCAGGACAGTTGATGATATACATATAACTGGATAGACAAATGATCCATATCATACCATATAATTTGAAGATAAGTTTTGATACTAAATATCTACTAGATGACAAATCTAATTTGTTCCAAGATTACCTCATCAAGAATGGAAAGAGATTTATCTCTTTCATCTGATAAGCTGAGTAAGCGATTTTCAAGCTCCTTTACTTCAGTGACTAGGATTGCCTTCTCCCCATATACTTCTGCATGCTACAAATTATAAGCAAATGGAAGAGTTTTCATACTAATTAAAGAATCACCAAAATGCATTCTATTATTGGTAACTAAAAGATCCAGTCATTAACAAGTGCACAACCATGTCATTTGCTTCCTTTGCATGTGGCAGCATCTGTTTAAGTTCCTCCACCTTGAGGAGAATTTCCATGCCCCACTTGCAGCTTCCTCTTTTGCTTGTTCTGCAGCTGCCTCTTCGAGTTCAACTTCTTTCATCAAGTTCATAATAGACTCCATGGTCTGAAACAAAATTTTCTACACCAAAATCTGATAAGTTGAGAATTCATCCTCCATAAATACAACCAAAATTCAAAAGAAACAATAAACTATTTTTCATATTAAAATGCTTATTATATAAGCAAAAACATCAGAACCTCAAACTAAGTTAATTGATAATGCAAAATTTGAATGATAACAGACTAAGCAGTAGAATTGCTAATATCGCATAGGATTCGTTCTCATTACCAAACAGCCTCCAAAATCAACAAAAGAAGGTAAAAAGCTTCAAGCAAAAAGTACCTTGTTACTTTTAGCATCTTCAATGATCTCTTCAAGTATATTGATTCTGCATGTTTGATTAGTTCTACTAACAACAGGATTGAAGCTATCATCCTCAATATCACTCATTTCACCAAAGCAGTCCTTCTGGGATTTAAAGTCTACAGAACCTTTTTCTTGTTTCTCAGATGAATAGAGTGAATCACATAACCACTTTCAAAATGCTGATCAGTCCTCACGCCTTCTGGAAATTGTTCTGGAGAATATAATGGAACCACCAGACCAGCAGAATTTTCTTCACCTACCATGGCTCCATTTGATGAGCTGGTTCTGCACAAATCTCCATTCAAATTCACGGGTCCATCAAAATTTTACTTATCATTGGAGCTGCTGCTACTACCAGCTGTCTCCAAAAGCAAAGTTGAGTCATCAGCCGACTTGAATTGTGAAACCTGGGGAGTCCTGGAAAACACATCTTCAATGTCTGTGGTCCGGTATTGACTTCCTCGGTTTCAAGATTTGCATGTAGCATAGAATTATCAACCTTTGATGCAATCAAGTTTAAACTAGATTTATCTTTTCAGATTTTAGTACTCCCCAACAAAATCAATTCCTCGGTTTCAACATCAGCAGCCTCATTATTATTGTTCTCATGGAATTTTGAACCAGCTGCCATATTTGGTGCTTCACTTGTTTCCAGCGATGGTTCTGTAGAAGAGCATGATCTTTTTCCAACCAATACCTTTCGCCTCGTCAACTGATTGCTTTCTTCATCTGCAGCTGCATCTTCAAAAATCCATTTATAATACTAAACAGGTCAATAGATCAAGGAGTAAAAGCCAATATGCATCTAATAGACATGCATATATGAAGTGGCATTTATCCTCTAATCCAAAATATAGACCTGACAAAGATAGATAAATAACTAAATCGTTCAAAAAATTTCATGATTTTGGAAAACCAAGAACATAAGAAGCCTGAACATGGTGCAGAATAAACCAAGTCCACTGCTAAATCATGAAAATTGGTTGCACGTGAGGACTCTGGTTCTGTGAGGAAGAACTGGCAACCACAGTTTTTTTAGAAAGGTAAGGTATAATCTCAGACAGAACAATCTCAGCCGCGCTGCATTAACATCCTTAGAGTTCTCAATAGCAACAGCTTTTAGAATACGAGAATCAACCAGTGCAGAAGGTGTAAGAAAGCTATATTTCAAAGGATGTTGGTTATATTTTCCAAATATAGAGTTACAATTTAGAAAATTATAAAGAAGATTTAAAGCTGAAGCAGCAACATTTTCTTACACCAGATGATTTGGGGTCACATTCAGACAACATTTTCTTTTGGTAAGAAACATTTTCAAAAAATTATACAAAATTTGCCCCAACAAAATAAATAATTAAATATGTGTGATGCTTGTAAAAGACACATATTTACTCTAATATGAACACGAATAAGTTAACACGACAAAAATACATATTTATATGTCTTATTTTTAATCATTCAATGAATATATGTTTAAATTTTTTTATTCAAACACTTTAAATTTTTTTATATTAATGTAATATGTAATTTGAGAATCTCATAGCTAAAAGTGTTGATTTTGAGTTGTCAAATACATAACTTAAATTTGATAAGACCCATATTAATACGAGAGTCAAATATAATTTTTAATAATCGAGTCCCGAGTATTTTAAAAAATAACAATTGACGAAATTCAAGACATAAGTCTAATCAAGTTCAATACTTGTCTTTAATAGTTTTAAATTAATATTTTTAACCATGAGTTTCTCAAATCTTCACTTTGTTTAACTATGTGTTTTCCTTCTTCAAGTATTTAAATATAATATGTTTAGCTGAGCAAACATATTTGACCGATTAATTAAAATGTTTATATTTGTTCTTTTATATTCTTTTAGATCACATGTTGTAGACTTATATTTGTACTTGTGCAACACACATCATGTTTGTTTGTTTTTTCAGACGAAATTTATATAACTTTTTTTTATATTTTTGACATTTTTTCCTTTCATATTGACCTACTTTATGACCAAACTCCGAAAGCCTCTTTACTTTGCAGAATACAAATCAAAGAAATTAGGGAAAACTAAGTTAAATTTGGTATGAATTAGGGTAAAATACACCATTCTTCACTTAGTTTTATTCTCTCATATTTTATTCACCGTATTTTTAAGTTTTATAATTTACTCATAGAATTTTTAAATTATTCATGTTTTGATCGCTGTGAATTATTTTATTAATATTTTTGTATAATATAGTATTTTTAAAATTAATTAATATAAAAAGTAATTTTATTATTATTTCGAAGGTTGATAGTGGTGACGATAGGTGGCGATTATTTTAAGTCTTTATAAATTTAATAATAATAAAATATTATTTTATTATTTATTTTAAATTATTTTTATATTAAATAATAATAATAAATTCTATTTTATATAAAAATATTTTAAAACAAGAGAAATTTAAAAATTTAATGAGTAAATTAAAAAATTAAAATTATAATAAATAAAATACGAGATAGAATAAAATTAAGTAGATACCTACAACGAAAACCAGGAAACGACAAAGAACCTTTGCTAACCCCTTTCGTCAAAGCTCAGTAGAGTTAGCACATACTTTTGTCTTGCTCTTAAAAGTAAATGTTTTAGCTTGATTGCTTTCGTCTTCAGCTTTGATTCATCTTCTTGGAAAACAAAAACCATCTTTCCCAAGTTCATCAGATCTTTGGTATCCCAATAAAATGGCTAAAAAAGCCGTCAAATACTATGTGGTAAGTTATCCGTCTCTATTTGTGGTTAAGTACTTTGGGTTTCCGATGGAGTGAATTTGAAGGGAGAGTTTTGAAATCACGAGCAGGTTGACGCGTTTACCGACTCGCCTTTCAAGGGAAACCCAGCAGCAGTCTGTTTGCTGGAGGAAGACAGAGATGAACAGTGGTTACAATCTGTGGCCGCTGAGTTTAATCTTTCCGAGACTGCTTACTTGACTCGGACTAATGGCTCCGATTCTCAAACTCCCAGGTTTCGTCTTCGATGGTTCACTCCCGTCACTGAGGTCAGTTTTTCTTCATTTCTAATTGAAGCTTGTTTTGTTTATCATTAAGACTCGAGATTTTGGCAGGTTAGGCTTTGTGGACATGCAACATTAGCATCTGCTTACACTCTCTTCACAACTGGGATGGTAAATTCGGGCATAATTGAATTCGAAACACTAGCCGGAATTCTTACTGCTAAAAAGGCTCCTGATTTCAACTCACCAATCGATGCCTCCTCTCGTATCGAAGACCCACAAAACTGCTTCTCTGTCGAGCTGGATTTTCCTATAGTTCCCTGCACCGAATTCGATCCTACGGAGGTTTCGGTTTCAGCAATCTCCAAAGCATTGAACGGTGCCGATATTATCGACATCAAGAGGGCAAAACCAGATGATAATTTCCTTGTAATTGCTCTCTTTTCTTCTTTTTTTTCCTCTTGGGAGTTAGGACGACCCTTGGTGTGGATATTATTATTACCAACTTAATTGCATTTGCAGGTTGTGCTCCCATCTGCAAAATCCGTCATGGAATTAAAGCCAGAGATCGATGACATACGTAAATATGGTGCTGAAGGCGTAATTGTTTCAGGGGCTGCTCCTATTGAGTCTGGGTTTGATTTTGCTAGCCGATGCTTCTTCCCAAGAAATGGCATAGATGAGGTCCTTTATTCTCCCTTTCTTGTGTTATGTATGCATATATGTTTGGATCTAATTGCCATGAATGAATATGTACAGATCAGGATCCTGTGACTGGTAGTGCACATTGCACCTTGGCACCCTATTGGAGCAAAAAGCTAGGGAAATGTGATCTCATGGCGTATCAAGTACTACATTAACCCCGTTTTACACTATCATCATTGAAATTCAAGTATACGTCGTTGGTTTACCATACATTGAATTGATTGTGTGCGTATAGGCATCGGCTAGAGGTGGAATCCTAAGCGTTTTTTTAGATGAGAAGAATCAGCGAGTGCTACTGCGAGGAAAAGCTATCATAGCCATGGAAGGCACTCTTATGGTTTAGAGTTTGTGCCTTAATTCTGGTTTATGTATAACGTTTTTACAATAAAATCCCTTTTAATGTCAATTTACACTATCATAATTTACAATTTTACTTGAATAATAGAGTGATAAAAAATTTGCTCATATAAGAGTAGTATAAATTATTGGGTAAAGTATATAAATAGTCCCTAAATTTTTAGGGTGCTTGCATTTTGGTCACCTAAACTTTTAGTTCGTTTTCATTTCGGTCCCTGCCGTTACCTTCCGTTAGATTTCGCTGATGTGGCACTTAACCTTCCCGTTAACCTTACCTTTTTTGCTGACGTGGCTTCTTCTTCTTCTTTACTGTCATTTTCTTGCTCATCTCATTTGGGAAGCTGCTCATGAAATGGCCGCCGTTAAGAACAGCCGCCTCACTCTGAAACTCGGAGAGACCAGCATCTTCTTTGGCTTCAATTGTCCTCAGAGATACAACATCCGGCAATGTCTCTGCAATAAAACATGTTTTTTTTAGGTTTTAGACATGTTTTTTCACCAATCTGTTGATCGAATATTGAAATAAAATACCAGTGCAATCAATTTTGGGAGTGGTTAATTCCTAACAAATCCTTCAAAAGTACACATTATGTTTATATATAATAATGGGTATGCAATTTATTTCCCTGAACACATTAAGCTAAATTTAATCTTCGTAAAATAATGGGTATGCAATTTTTTTTCCTTTTTCTTAGTGCATCTGCCCCTGCTTTTAAAATATATGAAATTCAATCATCATTTAAGAATTTAAGAATGATAATTTGACTCAACCTGATCTTATAAAATGTTAAAATTGTGACATGAATGATCTGATATTAGTTTGTTGAATGGAACAAACTTTTACATTGCTTGAACATGATTTTCTCCATTAGAGTTGTAATTTTACAAACATAATATGATGCAGGGAAAACCTTAGTAGTGGATGACCATACAAACAAATCAATGACACGACTTTTTTCACTAAAAATGGGGGGTAAACCCCTTAAAAAAAACAGAACAATATGTCAATGTAGCAGCTTTATAAATACAAGTATCCGTGTTGCAGATGAACTTAGTAAGTCCATTCATCGGGAAGAAACATGTCGGCCGCCGAAGAATTTTCATTTCCGCTAACGCAACGTTTGGATGATACATCCTTACCATTTTTATTATCGAATGAACTCCACTCTCCATCTCTTGCACTCGTACTATTATTCTTGGTATCTGCAAGAAAAAAAAACAATGAGTTTTGTTTTAAAGAAGAAAAAGGAAGAGTTAAAAGTGAGGTAAACCTCTGCGAGGAGATATATGGAGGCCTAATTGATGAACATTGAGGTTGAGAGCTTGAACGACCCGGGAAGGGAGTAGCACCGGAGAGCAAGGTGGTCGTCTGGATGAGTGGGAAGTGTTGTTGTACTGAGTTTGAGGAAGGAAAACGCCTGTGCCGGTTGATTTATCACCGGAATGAAGGAAAAACGCCTGCATTCCACCACCTCCTCCCGGTGCCCAGTGGCCCCAGTATCTTGGTCTCTGATCATGCCTTCTCCACCTAGTCTTTGGGTGCTGTTTATAATAATAATAATAATAAGCGTAAAGTATAGTAATGGTCACTGAACTTTTCTAAATATTTCATTTAGGTCCCCAACTTTTAAAATTTGCAATATAGTCCCCCCAACATTTAGTCTATTTGCAATATGGTCCCGAAATAACTGTTGGGGACCATATTGCAAGAGAACTAAATGTTTGGGGACTGTATTGTAAGTTTTAAAAGTTGGGACCTAAATGAAAGCTTTAGAAAATTTCAGTGACATTACTATACTTTACCCCTTTTTATTAATGGAGAAATGCAGGAGGGGAAGGGATATTGTATCATCGTTTTGGAAAGAAACTAAATTAATAACCCAACAACATCCCTTGTCTTTTCAAATTCAAGAAACTCCGGGATTCATGCCATTTGTAAAAAGTTGGATTTCACTTTCGTTTGACAGCTGATCCACAGTCAGAGAATTAAATTACGGTTCTATATAGATTTTCCAGGAGAGATGAGTATATTCTGTTCTAGACTTTAAAAGCTTTCTTCTTCTCTTTGTTTTCTTCTTTCGCAAATATGGAGTCTTCCGAGGTCTGTGGGGGCAACGAGGAGTGTCACAGCAGTGAATCGGGGTGGAAAATGTACATTGGTTCACCCTTACACGGCGGCGGTGAAGACGGAAACGACGGCGGAGCCAGTGAGGAAGGTGACGGTGGTGTGTCTGGTGATGAAAAGGATGGCGATTTTCATGAAGGTGTTGTGGACAGCGATGATTCAATGGCTTCCGATGCTTCTTCAGGTCCAAGCCATCATTTTAATTGAGTTGAAGGGAATGAAGATAAGAAGCAGACTGGGAAACAGAAGCTCGGAACGAAGAAGACAAAGACAAAGACAAGGAAGGCACTGCTCCTCGAAGTGGTTCCAAGTTAAGAAAAACGAAGTGAAATCACTTGTGTTTATGGGCTCCATTCCCATGTGGCTTTTTTGTTAGGGGAAAACGAGGGTTAGGTTTACAAGTGTTCTTTTATCTAAACTCTGGTGTTTAGGCGTTGAATCAAGAAATATAAGCGGCCATTAATGGTGAATGAACTGTAAGTATTTCAGTTCTTTTATCTTTAATGGATACTTAAAGAGTTATTTGAATATTTATTAGGGTAAAGTATAGTAATGGTCACTGAATTTTTCTAAAGTTTTCATTTAGGTCCCCAACTTTTAAAACTTGAAATACTGTCCCCCAATATTTAGTTCGTTTGCAATATGGTCCCCAACAGTTATTTCGAGGACCATATTGCAAACAGACTAAATGTTGGGGGATCATATTACAAACAAACTAAATGTTGAAGGATTGTATTGTAAGTTTTAAAAGTTTGGGGACCTAAATAAAAGCTTTAGAAAAGTTCAATGGCAATTACTATACTTTACCCTAATAATAATAATAATAATAATAATAATAATAATAATAATTATTATGTTTCAAATACAAATGTAGTAAGAAATAGACTCTAAATTACTTATGATCCTATTTACTTTTATGATCTTTAAATATTTTAATGAATAATTTTCTGTCTGTTTCTTACTAGACCATAAATTATAGGGTAAAATACACATTTAGTATCTAAACTATCACTTTTATTCCATTTTAGTACTAAACTTTCATTTTTTTTCAAAATCATACCTAACGTTTACTTTTTGTTTTATTTTAGTACCTCACCGTTAAAATTTTGGGTACCAAAATGAAACAAAAAGTCAATAGCGGGATATTAAAATGAAACAAAAAGTTAACGATGAGTATTAAAATGAAAAAAAAATTAAACGTTAGGTATGATTTTGAAAAAATTAAAAATTTAGGTACAAAAACGGAACAAAAGTGATAGTTTAAGTACTAAAAAACCATAAATTATATTATATTCTAATATATTTATATGTCAAACTTAATTTATTATTTAAAAAATAAATGTAAGTTTATTGTTAAAAATATTATGAATAATACTTATTTTTCTTATTTTTATTGTTTTAACAATTTATTATATAAACACATGTTAAGTATTTTATACTTCATTTTATTTATTTTTTACATATTAACTATGAGATGAAGTTATTTTTTCTCAGTTCCTTCTGTTTGTTTGTTATTTTTTATAAAAAGGAAAGAGTTTGGAGCGTAATGAATAGTCAGTTGTTCATTTTGTAATTTTTAATAGTCGAATGACTCAACAGTTCATCTTGTAATTTTTAATAGTCGAATGACTCAACAAAGCAATCTCTAAGTCAGATAATTATTTTTTAATTCTTAATAATCAAGAAACTTAATAAAATAATATCCTATAGTTGGGGTCTCCCATTTGTATATTTTACCCTAAATTTTATATTTATATTGGACACGTGAATACTACTACCCTTTGAAAAGAATGGAAAATAAACCAAATTAGGTAATAATTTGGCATCAATAACAAATCTTAAATTCTACCAAGTCAACACAAGAGACACTTGATTATTCATCCCCATCCAATAATTCACGGATTCTTGAAATTTTCTCAGAACTTGAGTCATCTAAATGAAATACCCAGCAAATACCAACTTATATTTCTCAAGAGTATAGGCGAACTTTAAACTTCCACAGAGAATCATCATCGTTTCGAAAAGGAAAAGCAAACGAGAGAAAGAGAAAGCAAATATGGATGCATTAGTACCGGTGATAAAGGCTCAGTAGGAAGCTTTGAACGATGGCGATGATAATGGTACTTAAAATCATCCTATAAATCAACAACAACAAATCAGTAATATATATCTTTTATAGAAGAGTAAGGGTTGGATCGGATGAGACTGAAAGAATAGAAAGACCTTTGCTTTATTTGTTTCTGATATTGGTTCATCAAGAACATGAGAAGGCAGCCATGATATTGGTTCTTCAGGGACGACCTCAAAATCCTCGACGGCGGCAACCGCCATTGTCTGAAACAGGCAAGGAAAGACAGGACGGAGGGTTTTGAGCTCCAACTTTTAACCTGCAAGTTAACTACTGAGTGTTTACGTTGGGAAAAATATTGGGAGAGACGAGCAATATATAGGAGCTCTTGGCGTTGGGGTTACTTTCTTGTTAAAGCGCGTAGAGCTCTCTGTATTTTGAGTTGGAGAATCAAACGACGGCGTTTTGGGTTTAGAATTTGACTTGGTTTGCGACTCCAATTTACCCTTTTAGCCTTTCCCCTCTATCAATACTTATTTTTATTTTAATTGTAAAACTTGTGATTTTAGATTGTTGACAATGAGGTTTCGAAAGCTCCTATTTAGTCCGGACATTTGAAGGAAAAGAAATTTCATTGGAAGGGCATTTAAGTATTTTTGATGTGATAGCCAATAAGAAGCATGAAGGTGGGTTGGGTTGGGTTGGGTAAACTCCTCTTCCAATATCGTTGGAGCAGTTAATTTAGCGAACATATGTTCTTTTCATGCGACGTTTTTTTCTTTGTTCAGTCAATGTATGGAGTTAAGAGTACACAAATTATTCCGGAATTAGATACAGCGAGTTTTTTTTTTCTTTCTAAATTCAAATTCTACCTAATCAATTTTATAAAAAAAAAATTAATAAAAATATCTAATTCTATTAAATCGATCGGATCAAAATATATAGGATATAGTTTTTATTTCCCACGGCCACCCATAATCGTCTTCTTAACAACCGCACTAATCAACTTGAAAATAGAAATGTTTGGCTTAGGGAAGCTCTATTTCCTCGTACTGGCAAACGTAAACCTTAGAACAATAAAAGTGATGATGTTGGTCAACTACTGCTTGCTTATTCTGCCGGTAAGCCTGATATTTTATGTTTCATTTAGCAACCCAAACTAGTCCATCAATATCACCATTTTAGTACTGTAATAGAATCAAGAGTAAAACACATATTTAATCACCAAACTATTCCCGCAATTTTATTTTGGTCATCTAACTATTTTTTTCTTCAAAATCATACCTAAATTTAGGTATAAACGTGAAAGCAGACAGCGGCGAACAAAGACGTGGAAACCCAGATTTCCGAGAGCATATCTTCGGTTAATGTATCGTGTGTTTTGTTTTATTTGGTATGGGAAAATGGAAGGGTGTTTAATCGAGTTTTATGGTTGCGTTTGTTGGACTGGTAATCAAGCAAGGTGGTGATATGGAGCTGCCGCCGCCGTGTCAACTGGGAAATGGATTACACTCCCCGGTTTCAGTCCAGTTATGAACTTATTCCTTCAATGGACCTATGTCTTCTTTGCAACTACTTGTTTCGGCTTCCGGTGGTGCAGTCTCCTTGCTCTACCACTCTGGTAAAATGCCTTGTGTTGAAGAAGATGATGACCTATGGGAGAAACTACCAAAGCCTTTGATCCCCCGTGTTTGCTTCCGTTCTCGGTTCCTCTCTTCCGTGTTAACTTCAAACACAATATATAAAACGTTGTGCAATTTTCAATCAATTAAACAGTTTGACCTATGGCAAAGGCTGTCCCATGGACACCATGGGGTCCTTGATTTGAATCCTCCAAACCCCTCTTATAGTTCAAAAATGTTTTTCTTTTAACCAGTTGGTGATACGATTAAGGATCAAATATTTAATTATGTCAATTTTATTTAACTGTTACATCACTACCCCGATTAAAATGGTTTATGATTATAGCACCCGTGTAATTTACCCTAGATTAATATGGTTTATGATCATAGTTCATTGGTCACCCGTGTAGTTTACCCTAAATAATATACGCTGGTTTGGAAGGGGAACAAAGATGCGTACACCTTTCAAAGTGGCTAACGTTTTGGTACCGCCTAATGTTGATGCTTCCCCTATGTTGAAATCTTCTTTTACTAAGCTGTGGAATTTACAATGCCCTTCGAAAATCCGAATTTTAGTATGAAGAATGCCCTTTAATTTGTTGAGCTATGTGGTTTGGTTGTTTTTAGGTGTTTTCCCAACTGTGTATGTACTCTTTTCCTTTATTTATTTAAATCTAGAGATGTTTTTAATGAGACATACAACTCGATTTCGATCTTAATAAATAAATAATTTATTGTCGAGCAAAAAAAATTATACCTACAATGCTTAATTTGTAAAACCGCAGAATATATAATTCAATGCTATGCCCTAGATGTAAGCTGGAATGAGAGTCTTTGGAGCATGCCATTCGGGATTGTCGATTTAATCAGGATGTTTGGTCAAACATGGGAGTTTCTTGGCCTAACAATCTTAATTCAGCTCAGTTCTTAGACTGGGTTTAAATGTTTCTTGGTTTTTAGAGAATTGCAATCAGAAATTACAAATCACAATGATTATTACATTGTGGGTTCTTTGGTTTGCAAGAAATAAACTTGTAAATGAGGGTTTCGATCAAAGTGTGACAGATTTGGGTACCTTCTGCAGGAGCTTCCTCCAGGAAATCGGTTCAATTGCCTCCACTTTCATCATATCAGAGCCCCCGCACCGCAGCTTCCTGGACTCCTCCCACTGAACCCACAGTGAAAGTAAACGTTGATTCCAGCTACAATACTGCATTCCATAGTTCGTCTTCTAAGGTGGTGGTGGTGATGAGAGACTCTTCAGGCCAGATTCTGGGTTCTTGTGCACAAATGAACACACAAATCCCAAAATCCCTTCGTATTATAATTCTCTTTTCTGGCATCTATGCAATTTTTGGGTTTATGTTGCACATATGATTTTGTAGGGTTTTGGGATACTGAATTTTAGTATGGATACTAATTTTAAAATACATGCGATATCATATATTTGTATCATTTATTATTTCTATATCTAAAGTATTTTTGCGCATGTCATATTTTATATTGATGACTTGCTACTATTTTTCTCATGAGTTATTTTGATTCGTCATTTTGTGTGTCATTTATTACAATCTTTTAAAGAAAATATAAATTAGGTTTTGAGAGATCAAATATGAAATCTATGATAAATTAACACTTAATCGCTAGTCCGCTACTACAAATTAAATAACTATTAAATAAGTAAAATAATAATATTCAGATTAAACTGTGTTTTGTGATTGACCAAATTATTATAGAGGCGAGTTCAAGTTTAAACAGCCCGCTTTTATGACCTAATGCTTCAACGTACATAGCTTGCAAGTTTAACACAAATGTGGCAGTCAAACAGAAACAGAAAATATCCAAAATATAGTCAGGACTAAAGCAGCCCACTTTTATAACCTGATTTCCCACTCTGGACATCGGAGTGTTGGAAATAAAACACTCACACAAATAACTTATATTGAAACTCAAACAAATATTACAAGAGCACTCTCACTCAAAAACAAAAACTACAACTTACTCTTGTAGGACTTTGCTTCTTCACTCACTTAGAAGCTCTTAATTTTTCTTGATGCTTAAAACTAAAATGGGAAGGGGTATTTATACTACTCAAGAACAATCATACACCACACAAATAAACTAATTTAAACCATTACAAATTCAACAAATATCTAACTCTCACCTAACTAAATTGATGTAAGCAATGACATCATTACTTAAATGATGTAAGCAATGACATCTTTAATTAAATGATGTAAGTAATGACATCAATTTAGTTTGGGTTTGGGTTTGGGTTTAGGCTCCCATAATGGATCAAGTTTATGATCCAACACCCCCTTAAACTTGATATCGTAACCCCTAGTAGGTTCCTTAATCTTAAGAAGTCTTCGATGGTCAGTGGCTTGATAAAAATATCAGCAACTTGATCTTGTGACTTCACGTATTCAACTTCCACATCTTTTCTTGCAACACACTCCATTATATAGTGGTAGCGAATATCAATGTGCTTGCTTCGATCATGGAATACTGGATTCTTCGCTAAGGCAATGGCTGACTTGTTGTCGACACAAACCTTGGTAGGCTCTTCTTGTATCAAACCTATCTCCTTCAATAGATTTCTAAGCCAAATTGCATGACAAACGCATGAGGTAGCAGCAACATATTCCGCTTCACAAGTGGACAATGTGACAATCGGTTGTTTCTTTGACATCCATGTGAACGTAATATCTCCCATGGAAAATACGAATCCAGTAGTGCTCCTTCGATTATCTATGTCTCCACCCCAATCACTGTCGCTATATCCAACAAGCTTGTAATCGTTAGAAACTGAATAGAACAAGCCAAAGTCAATTGTACCTTTCAGATAGCGAAGAATTCTCTTTGCGGCTTTAAAATGGGTGGTTGTTGGAGATTCCATATAGCGACTAACTAATCCAAATGCGTGAAGAATATCGGGTCTCGTGCAAGTTAGATAGCGTAGACTTCCTACCAAACTTTTGAAGAATGTTGGATCTACACTTTCGCCTTCTTCATGTTTGGTCATCTTGATCCCGTATTCTGCCGGTGTGCTTATTGGCTTACAGTTCTCCATCTTGAACTTCTTCATTATCTCCTTTGCATAGCTTTCTTGTGAAATGAAAATTCCATCATTTTGTTGCTTAACTTCAATGCCAAGGTAGTACGCCATGATCCCCATGTCTGTCATCTCGAATTCTTTCATCATCACATCCTTGAATTCATTAAACATGCTTGGGTTGCTTCCAGTGAAGATCAAATCGTCCACATAGAGACACACGATCAAAATATCTTCATCTTTGATCTTGATATATAGAGCATGCTCGTAGGGACATTTGTTGAAGCCATTCTCTTGGAAGTACTTGTCGATTCGGCTATTCCATGCCCTTGGTGCTTGTTTTAGCCCTTAAAGAGCCTTCTTCAACTTCAACACCTTGTCTTCGTGCCCTTTGACTTCATAGCCTGATGGTTTCTGAATGTAAACTTCCTCTTCAAGAACTCCATTTAGGAAGGCAGACTTTACATCCATCTGTTGTATCTTCCACTTGTTTTGAGCTGCCAAAGAAATGATTAGTCTGATATTCTCCAATCGAGCAACAGGAGCAAATACCTCATCATAGTCAATTCCAGCCTTTTGACTATAGCCTTTAGCAACTAGCCTCGCCTTGTGCCTTTCAATCTCTCATTTGGCGTTTTGCTTTGTTTTGTACACC